CATTTTTAGTGTGTGACAATGAAAGTCATGCTTCCTACCTACAGGGATCATTTAACGACGCATATGCAAATGCTGAATTCACTATTAAAGATAAAAATGATGGAAAGTTTCATTTTCTTCATATTACCATGCAACCCAAGGAAGATGGTTGTCTCCAGAGGTCAATTTACTGAAAGCCGATAGGGAATAGACAATACCCACATTTTAATAGTTTTTGTCCAAGCAGCTGTAAACGAGCACTAGTTAAAACTGTGTTCAATAGAGTCAGGAAAATATGCTCTACAGAGAAATTAGAGGAAGGATTTATGATTCTCGAAGAGAAGTTGAAAAACAATGGCTTACCTCAGAGATTCATTAACAAGTACGCAAGATGTGAAGAATCAAGTGCCAAACAAGTCACAGTCGGAAATAAGCCTGTCTTCATTCAACTAGATTTTAAAGGTGAAAACATTGCAGCAATGGTCAACAGAAGATTGAGTGCGCCACTAGGCACAGCCTATGCTGCAGCTAAGTTGGTTCTTCTCTATCGGACAACATGCTCTTTGGTGCAGTCAAAAGTCGACAGATACCCTTCTCATGTTAGTTCTAACTGTGTATACACATTTTCATTTATATGAGGTGACAGTCACATTTGGAGAACAGAAATAAGGACACACCTCCAATTTCATCAACATCTACAGAAAAGTCTGTGTCACAAGGGAACAGACGCTTTCAATAGGGCCATTATCAGGTGTCGCCCAGATACAGGTCATTAGGTGGACACCATGAAATCCTCCAGAATTATTAGTAGACAAAATAGCTCAGTCCTCCTCAAGTTTGCTGAAGCGGTCTCTTTCACACGCCTGAAATCCGACTGATGTGTTCAGAAGAAAGCAGATATCAGTCTTTCCTTACACTAACAACTGACTATATTTGCTCTCTTTCATTCGATTGCGTATTCTTGCTTTAACCTCTTCCTTTATTACGTAACCCATTTACCATTGTATGCTTATATTGATTTTTTGTTTAAACTGGAACTCTCCGTCAGTTGATATCATGTGAAAATTGCAAGTATGCTAAAATTCTTTCTGTACATATACTTAATAACATCTTTAGGCTGTAAGCAGCTGATGAGAAACCATAGAAATAAATGATGATACCATCTTATTTTGCACAAATCACTGTTCTTGCTTTATTCAGATTCAGAGAGGAGAATAAACGTTTGAAGTTTCCAAATATGTTTGCCTATGCATTCCAGTTTGAAACCTGCTGAAGTGATGTGAATAATTGCCAACAATTAAATGATAACCAATTGACTGCGTTTGTAACGTAGAATCAAAGCACATCAGTTCATATTGCCACACCTAATGTAGCATATAAAGAAGGGGAAAATTGAAGGAAATGAATGAATGGAAATGTACGGCTGGGAAAATAATTATGTGAGGAATAATAAGGATTTAGTGCATCTGACAGATTGCAAGGAGTGAACGAGTCTTTGCGATTGAGGACTAATTTGATCGACATCACTGCTCCTTAACATCTTGACGAACCCAAACTGGCTGTTCACCTCACTAGGTGACTGGTTCAAACCAACTATCAGAGATTTCATAAATCTCTGGCAGATTCTGATTTGGTCAACCTTAACTCTTCCCCATGCCAATCCGATGTCCGTTAACATTGCTCGACTAACATGTTACTGTAATGTATCACTAGTAAGAGATCTGGTGCATTCCCTCACGAAAGCCCACCAGGAATATCAACATAAAGGCATTATTCCCAACGTAAATGTATCATTTATCCTACTGCATAAGGTAATTTTCGTCAACGTGCCAGAACAGTATATTTAAACTTATAATGGTAGAAGGCGAAAGATTCAACATAAGCATTAATGGAGGACAGTTTCAAGAGCGATAGGGATATAGCGACTTCTGGATCTGATGAAAACAATTCAGCATTAGCAGTAACAATTTAGGAAAAGCTTGATTCCAATAAATAAATACCTTACAAGTCCACATAAAGACATCAGAAATCCATAGCGACTATCATGAATAGCACTGAAAGCAATAATAATCTGTGGTAAATATTCTCTGTGTGAAAATGATCTTATTTAACGACCACAAATAATAATTTTAGCAGAAATCAACGCATTATTGATGCCAGTTAGACAGTTCATCCAATTCAACTAACAGTTGACTCTAGAACCTCTACTCGATACATGTTATTTAAAAACGTAGTGTCTGCATTAGTGTCTACACAGTAAAGATCGTTCAAACTATAGACCGACAGACTCATATAAAATGACAGTGGTAGTGGCAGTAATGTGAATCAAATAGATTTAAGTTCCTTCACAGTGTTGCCTTATAAGAAAAGGCGAAACTTTAAGTGAGTGTTAAATTAAATTTGTTTTCAAACCCAAAACTACTTTGTAGGCCAGTTCGATTTATTGTGTCTAATCCTCCTTTACACTCCCAGTGGAACATAAGGCTTCAAGCTGGAGGCTTGAAGTTCGGTATCAGTGCGTTTATTTTTACGGGATGGGTTTGCTAGCCTAATTTCCAACCTTCCCCTTTACCAGTCTTATTACTAGACTAGTGAGGTAAAGTAGTGCACCGGCCGGGTATAGAACCCCGGACAATATGCGTGGCTGGAGAGCATTCTACTGTTGTGCCATCGACTCCCTTGTGTGACATACTGAATAAATATTCTGATATGCAACTTCGTTCAAGTTCAGCGTCAAAATTTTACTCCTACAGCAGTAAGCTGTAAAATCTATTATAGCTAGATGTAGACAAAGATTGACCACCTAATCTTTGATCATGGTATCGGTGCTTAACACTCGAATTGAGGATAAGTAACCTTAAAAATGCGCTCCGTAAAAACCGACTGACGATGTCGTCAACGGATACACTTTTAACTGCCACCCTTCAAAAAACTGAAACCATCAACCGGTGCAACCCAGTATTAAGGAAACGCTTCCTGCGTTGACCGACTCCATGTGCATTTTTGTATTCAAGTTCTGTTTTAGAGATAGGTACGTGGGACGATAATCGAGCAATACATCACATCGCGTTCGAGAACACCTGCTATCTTTGCTGAACAAAGGACACCATAAAGCCGTTATTTTTTGTATAGTATAAAATATAACCGGTAATGACCGCCCAGCTTGTAATATATTCGTTTGTACTATCTCTCTTATTGCTTTGGTCTTTATCATGTGATTCACATAGCCACTTTTTCCTTCTTTATAGCACGTTGTTTCATTTTGTTTTATTTCACTTTGTGTCAGTTTGTTCTCATATCTAATTTTTTTATTGACTGTGGGTCAAACATTTAATTCGCCTTTCTTATTATATTCGATCTGATAAATTCGTATATTCACATTTCCGAATGTACATAATCGTTCTATAAAAAACTAACCCTATCGTGCGTTTACTCATTGTCTGTTGTAATTGTCGTGACCTTTATACATTCGTATTTCTAATCAATTTGCAATTCACAATCATCTTCATTAATATAATCGTACTTGAGTCCTTCCACTACCTATGGAATTTTAATACGCACACAGATGCACAATATACGTACTTGTAACTGTCTGTTGTACAGCAATGAAAATGAAATGGTCACAAAGGGAATGAACTATGTAGATAATGTTGTTTATTTTGTCACAGTTGGTGAGTCGGTGGTATAGCGGTTAGGACGCTCGCCGATCATGCACATGGTCCGGGGTTCGACTCCCGGCCGACGCACTCCTTTACCTCGCTAAGCCAGAAATAATGCTGGTAATGTGGAAAGGTTGGGCACTGCTACAGAAACTTGAAGCCATTAGCTTGAGGCCCTATGTTCCACTGGGGAACGTGAAGGAAAAAAACTTTTGTCACAGCTGATCAGGTCTTTCGGTTCATATAAGGTTTGTTCAGATATGTTCAATTCATGTGATGTGGCTATTCCAAAAGGTTGAAGTAATTTGTCAACCGTTTTCTAGACATTCTTGATAAACTACAGAAGGATTAGGTTCAGAGGTTTTTGATCTTAGTCATTGAAGGGCACAACTGTGACTGAAATTCTTCTCCCGAATTCTTCGTATTTATCATTTCTACTAGTTGACATCTACAGAAAAGCTTACATAACCGCAAAAAACTCACTTCGTCTGAAATTCTACCACCTCCATAAGAATGATTTAAAAGTAAGAGTGGTTAAGAGTATCGTGAAGACAGGTAGTGTTATTGAACAATGCATGTGAAAAACTCTCAGTTATCTATGAACAGAGTAAATGAATTATAATGAATCACCACTTTTAAATCTTATTTTTTTCTGATTCATTGCGTTACTATGATACATGAAAATAAGCACACTAGTTTGCAGAATGCTCCCCCCTCACCGCTAATCGTTCTCCTCTCACCAAATACCAGTAAGGGTGAAATATTAAACTATTCGGAATCAAAACAAACAAAAAACGGGAACTTAGGGAATCCATCATTCATTAAAAGATGAACATTAGAACTTAAAGCTGCCACGAAAATCTTCGTCGAAGAATTATCATTAGAATGTCAGACAAACAATTAGGAGATCAAAAAGTATTTATTGTGAGTCAGTGAATTCGATGTGTGCCAAATAATATTCATTTCTATTTGCTGAATATCTTAACTTTTGCATCATTGTGGCAAAAGCAATGGAACAATATCAGATAACCTTATTCTGCAAGATTTGGTCTTCTCGTTTTGCTTAAGAGTATAAAAAATGGAGACATCATAAAAAAGGATAGCATTCAAAGGTGAAACGTGAATGTCTTGATGTAAATATTCCATTGCAACTATAACACAATCCGTTTGCACTAAACTCGTGAAATTACGGCTACATCCTTTTTAGCACTGTATTGACTGCTGCACCACATGAATTAGTAGTATTGCAGCAAACGATCGATAACTAAAATCCAACATTTGCACTTTACATAGTATCACAAAACAATGACGATGGATACATCGTGTTTCATTTCGATTTATTTACAAAATATCAGTAGAGGCTTCACAAGTTACAAAAAAGGGTTAAGATTATGGTAATCACGTAGGAAAAACTACGACTGGAAGTAAAAATACTTCATCGGCTAGTAGGATTCCAACGTAGTTTTCTACCATTGCAAGCATCATTCCACCACTGAGAAACATTTGGAAATGAATGTGGCTGAAGCTGGTCGACAACATGAGCGAATAAGCACAACACACACATCGGTCTAGGCTTCCAGTCATCTATAACTCCATGACCATGCCATGCAAAGTATTCGTTATATGCGGTGTCATTACGGTCCAAATACTTGAGATATTCAGCAAGCTTTGCAGGTGATTCAAACTGATCCACATGGATGAATGAGTGAGCTGGTGAAACGCGTTCATACTCCTCAACTGATGCCCCCATAACAACGGGAACTATATTATTCCTGTGACAGCAAAAGAAATAATGGAGAAACAATGTGTTAGTTGGAGGAAATGAATAGAAGCAGTCCGCAGTCTTATAAAAACCATCGGATTACTTGGAAAATATTTTCATGTCCACCCACATTCGGTTTTAAAAGTGGTTAACACACTGCTCACAGGATTCATGTAGAGAGATTTCATATGGGATAGACTTCGGCATAATTATACGACACTGACATTCAAAACCTCCATGATTCACTTACTCAGTGTGAAGTGTTCTCGTTATTCATAATTTTACTGCTTGTTGTTCGACATCAAAAGTGTTTTATGATCAGTGCAAGAAAGTCTCTTTGTCATTTATTTATCACTTGCCTAGTATTCGGCTGTAGAATCAATCGACTTGTTGATCGTCGCTTTAGAGTCACATTGTGTTGTCATTGTGACAGATAAATAAGACTTAGCTTGTTCCCAGCTGAGTGTGTGTTCCGTTAAATCAGTTGCTGTAGCTCTTCCACAACAAACTTAGCAATCAATGATAATCCGTTTGCTTTCCTTGTACACTCCTTCAGACCAAACTAAAACACTTGTGACATCCAATAATGAAGCACACTGTGGGAATCCTCCATTCTTTTTCTTGTAACATAGAAAAATACTAAGAAAAGCATATAAGACAAGGCAACATTCCATTTAATTCACTTACCTGTAAGCATTCCTGAAAAGCTTCTCCGTTATATAGTCCGGACATAAGCTGTTTTCAAAGCTGAGGTAGAATTTGTAATCTTTCTCAAGAAGCTTGTAACACTCAGTTTCTGAGGTTCTCGGGCAGCTCTTCGTACCACATTTTCCGTAAATATCAATCTAAGATGGAAGTAATGTTGACTCATTGTGTTTCTTTGGGATATCAAAAGTAAAAGTTATTATTAGATATGAGTAGAATCCTATTGTAACATGTTGGTTTTCTAAGGTATACAGTCATTTCGTTCGGCAAATAAGGAGGGAAAAATGATTTAGTAAGATTTGCGCACATGCATACAATGTAATTTTGCTCTGTTCGTTTAGCCTAACAAGCGATACATTTTCATTTTATTCTATTTTTAACAATGTGCTCATTGATTGGCGCAGAAATTGATTGACTTTAGTCCTCAATGCAGATCATCGTTGGAAGATTCCTTAACATTCATAGAGAACTGTGTAGACCTTGACCATTTACTACTTCACACCCGTATCACTGATGAACCGGCTGAAGGAGGAAGTAACCTTGGAGCACGCACATGTTCAAATTCTGGATGAAAGTTCCATGTCCATACTTCCAGCCTATAAGCTTAGAAGAAATACTCAAAGAACAGAAGTTCGGTTTTATGTCTAGTCTACTGTGGAGATAGCGGTGTAGGTGAATGGCAATCTGTATCTAAAGTCATTGGAAGTCGATAAAATTTCTGAATCTGATCGATGAAAAAATGACTTCTGTGGGTTGCAGACGCGATGATGACAGAAAACTGTCTGAAGGTTAACTGATTAAAAGTCTTCTGTGAAGCCACAAACAATGATCAGAGGTAATAGGATGGTAGGAAAATTTCCACATTTCAAAAATTTAAAACAATTAATCCCTTTTATATGTTTGCATAATGTTATTAGAAAACAGAGATTATCTGAAAAATGTGATGTCATTTCGAACAATCTGATCACACATTTACTTGTCAATTCGATATATATGAAAAAATAAACAGCAGTCAAATTAAACAAAGTGACAAAAAGGATCTAAAAATAATTAACACAACGTTATTGAACACACAAGTGGGGGGGGCTAAGTTTATGAACAGCTATAGCCTCAGCGTATTTCAATAAACGCCCTTGATCATGTTTATAAATTACGTTAAAGGCTGTGTTAACATCAATCTTATGGTTCATCTTGATTAGATGTTTACCTATGGACGAAGTTGGTAGTCTGACACCTACGTTTATTGGTTTCCATTTGTTTTCCTAGCCACTCTGAGATATGCACTCCCACCCTCACATGCAAAGCACGATTACTCCTCCCTATGTATGTGTGTCCATACACACGTGAAAATTGGCAAATAGTGTAGGATGTGACATAATCACTTGTGCACTTTTGAGGTTTGCAGAGGAGCATATTTTTTGGCTTTATCGATAATAACAAGCCACTGCCTCACATATTCCCAGATACCTTGATTTCGCTCCCATTGATAGGTTTGATCGGATCTTGTATATGACTTTGAAGGACTTTTCGAATGGAGCTGAATGTCCTGAATTCACCAGATGTTCTATTGCCAAACCGTATACACCCTTGCGTTCCTGCTTTGCTAACCATGCTGGATAGTGTTCCCGTGCTCGTTTTACAAGTGGACGCATGATGAGACCAATGTACTCGGCTCCATATGAGCAAGTGAACTGGTATATGCATGTTGAAGTGGCCCAACTCTTCTTTGCACACAACTTTTTTTTCCTTCACGTTCCCAGTGGAACATAGGGCTTCAAGCTAGTGGCTTGAAGTTTCTGTAGCAGTGTTTAATCTTTACAGGATGGGGTTGCTAGCCTTGTGCCCAACCTTTCCTCTTTACGAGCATTATTTCTGGCTTCGCGAGGTAAAGGAGTGCGTCAGCCGGGGATCGTACCCCGGACCATGAGCATGGTCACCGAGCGTCTTAACCGCTATGCCACCGACACACTTGCACACAATAATAAGCTTTTAATTTTCAAATCAAAAGCTTATCATTGTGTGTAAAAGAATCGTTGAAATGTAATTATTACTAAATCATCATCATTACAAGGTAATACTCGTCAACAAAATTCAGTTATGGAAGAGAGATATAATGATTGCAGAATAATATGGATCCCTTTTATTTCGTTGGTTCTCGTCAGCTCAGTACAACTTATAACATCTAGTAAAACAAGTTATAGATCAATTTAAATGCACCTTTTGTTCATCATCATGAACCAGTCCTGCAGTAGGAAAGCTATAGGGAAATAAAACTTAAGGATGATATATACTAATAATTTAAGATAACCTTATCATCTCAATTATCATCTGGACGAAATACAGTCAAGCTGAACAAGAAGGAAGACAGCTCGGTTGATATTAGTTCGTTGCATAGTTTGGCCGCCGTGTCTTAGGAAGACGGAGTTAACAAGGATCCCTTGAAATAAATTCCGCGTCTCCTGACACTTCTAAGCATTTTCTATCACTGAACTTGAAGAGACCAATGAAGGGAAGGTTTAAATGTGTGACTGTCACTTCACTAGAAGATAATTTAATGTAATGCAAGTTATATCTTATCACTGTCTTCAAATCATTTCTGTAATCCTGTCTATAAACAATTATTTCCGCTCACTATACACAGATTTAAATAAATAAAATCAGCCGAACATACAGAAAAATAAATAAAAAAATAAGATAGAAATTGATTTGTTAGCAAGTCTTACCAACGAATAAATATGAATTCAAAAGTGGGAATTAGCTGCCATTATGAAAATATCATTATATGGAAAGTGCGTTTAACAAATAATACAGTGAAACATATTTTTAAAAGCAATTTCTTCAGATCCTGCAAACAATGGCACACACCTTTAAATACTTTGACAGCTCCTGCACATAATAATTTCTTGGACTTTTAGCGAAACAATTAGTCACAAACCATGCAGCCATTTTAGTCTTCCCAGCAGCATAATTATGAGAAGGAAGTGGATATCTTGTATGCGGACCATGAGTTGGATCAATTGGCTTATAATTATGATACGGCAAGTAGACTGAGGAATCTCTTCGGTAGGTGATTGTGTAGTTCACCTGATAGCAGATAATAAGCATTAGTATTTTGCTAAATTTTTGAGTCTAAGAATAAACGATACCATAATTAGCTTATTTAATAATAAAGTTGTGGGAAAACTGATTAATGTTTATAGTGCTATGGGATAACTGGCCCCAACTGTACTACTAACAGTGAACTGCGGATATAGGTGTATGCGGAGTGCAGGTGAATCTAGCACTTACCAAAATATTTTCTGGTATTGCTTCATATATAATTTTTCTTATATCCATCTCTAATTTACTTTACTACCTGAAATCTTCACAAATAGGCTACATTATTTCTAAGTCACTCCCTTGATTTCAGAATGAAGTTTTTCTTGAAGGTTGAATAATCTTTTTGGTAATATAAGAATAGAACCTGGACACTGTGTTAGAGTACAATTCCATCTTAGACTAAATTTATTTGATAAAACCATACAGTGATACAGTAATATTTACTCATAACGTTTCCAGCACAATTTAATGCTCATAATTAAATCAAGGCCTCATCAGTGAATGAAAATTTATCACTGTCTAGCGACTACGCCTAATCCAGGTAGGTAGTAACCTAGGTTATAGTGAGAAGTCCTGACCAGTGGTGTACAGCCGTTAGGGTGTGAGGAAAAACACTCACCGAAGACATCAGCTAGTGGTTTCGCCTAATCGTGAATTGGCAGTAGTCATTTGGTTGTGTACCAACGGCTTAGTGGTTTACGAGCTCGCCTAGTGGTCAGAGTTGACTCGGTTCGAACCCCACTGGTGGGTGCGTACTGATGAAGAATCCCAGACTAGTCTGAAACAGCTGTCCAGTACTCCTAGGTTTTCCAGTGGTTCTATAACTGATTTCAGCTCATGATGAAATTCTGTAACCAATCAAGTCGAATTCCTGCTAACTATCACTTGAACTGTCTAGTTTTATAGAAGGAATTTATCCTACAATGGAATCCTTTTGCTGTTTCCACATATTCTGTATCGTAGTTTTTTTCTCTTTTCAACGACTGTATATTTGAATAAAGTAATAACATAAGTTTGTGCAAAACAAGATGATACTAACGTTTATTTTGTTGGCTTTACATCAGTTGCACTCAGCCAAAAGTAATTACTAAGTTTGTTTACGAAACAATTTTAACATACTTGCAAAGTCCGTATGAGGTCAGTTGACAGGAGGCTGAAAACTTAATAAGCAGTGCTCAGAAATTACACCTATATACCTTACACACAGAAAGTGTGTACATACATAAATAAACACTTGGATGCATTAGCAAAAGAGTTATGTAGTAAAGACAAGAGGTGGATGAGCAATTCGTACCATGAGTAGCAGTCTGGTGAATCCAACTCAAATCATATGAAAAAGATACAAGCAAAGTTACGTTACGACGAAGGGAGAGAGGTTGAACACAAGGATTACGCAATCGAATGTAACAGAGCAAATATAGTCAGTTGTTAGTGTAAGGAAAGACTGATATCTGCTTCCTTCTGAACACATCAGTCGGATTTCAGGCGTGTGAAAGAGATCGCTTCAGCAAACTTGAGGAGGACTGAGCTATTTTGTCTACTAATAATTCTGAAGGATTTCATGGTATCCACCTAATGACCTGTATCTGGGCGACACCTGATAATGGCCCTATTGAAAGCGTCTGTTCCCTTTTGACACAGACTTTTCTGTAGATGTTGATGAAATTGGAGGTGTGTCCTTCTTTCTATTCTCCAAATGTGACTGTTACCTCAGATAAATGAAAATTTCTATGCACAGCTAAAGGTGACACAAGAAAATTTTTCTCTGCATAAACTTAATAATTTCTGTCGGCTAAACACAGTTGATGAAAAGCCAATAAAATAAACAATCGCATCATCTTATTCTGCAAAAACTGCTGTTCCTGCTCTATTCAAATTCATAAACAGGAAAAAAGTGTATGAAAACTCCGCATAACTCACGCCCAATATACTTGAAATTTTTCTTTCTTTCAGTTATGATTTCTGCCACCGTTAATACCAACTTCAAAAAACTGACAGTGTGTTGTCCGTTTGTCACAAAATTTACAATGCTTGCACCTTATTGAGAGACAAGATAGCTGTTTTCCTATGTAAACCAGAGAAGTTTGCATTCTTCAGACATGACAACTGTACCATGAATGATGCACAGGTAGAACACGAATCTGATTCTCCTGATATAGATAGATAGTTGAAAACCTATGCTTGTTTTGAAGACGTCCATTCGTTACCCATTCTAAAATTTCTTAAGTCAATCAATGTTAATACTGAACTTCATCTTAATCGATGCAAAGTTAAGTTTTTCCAACATTATGAAAAGCTGTGTGAGTGGTTATTATTGTCAAGTTGTAACGACGGAAGACAAGGGGTAGGCAGCAGATAGTTCATTGAGAAAATCAGCGGATATTTATTGATTTTTATGTACATTAACTATTCCTTATTAAGAAAATAAAAGGCTCAATGGGTATTTTCGGTGATTATTCGTTATTGTTAGCAGGGAAACAGAGTCTTCTGATTGATTGCTTTCCTGCTGAAGGTTATTCTGTCATCTCTTTGTTGCCATTTCTGTGGCATATCTGCGAATCGTATCCACCCACGCTAAGTCTGCTGTGATTGTTCGTTGAGTTGCTCAAGGTTAGGCTTTGTTCTTGATTTTCCTCATAACCCCGATTTGGGACGTAAACATTGCAGTTTTGGCTAGCAGACAGCTCTCACCACAAAGTAATCAAAGGGAACATAGAACTAAGACTTAAACTAGTGCATGTTATCATTTTATGAAAGAATCACTCTTGTGTTATTCCGTTATTTTGAGAACATTCCATGGATTAAACTACTAGGTGGTTAAAGATCAGTGGCGCGATTCCCTAGACACGGGTTTATTGTTTGTTGGCGTCTGCTGACAGAGGAGTATTTTTATGGCTCAAAGAACCGAAATAATTTTGAAGTGTATGGCAACGGTAAGTTATCCAGCACGATAACCGCGTAGGAAATACGAGTGATAGAATCCAACCCGCATATGAGAAATCAATCATTTAGAACTTATAACTCACTTTGTTGCCCAAATAATCTCCGATACTCACATGAAGAGGAGATTCATGTACAAAAATGAACCATAATTGATTCGGTGGCCTTTCTCCCTGAGGATAGGTTTGGTCTGTTAAGATGACAATATCAGACTCTTGCCATCTGGATCTATCAAATGTCAGTTCACATTCACAAGCATGACATGAAGAGAAGTTACTAATGGTAGTTATATGAATTCTTCCATAGTTCACAATTAATTTTTTCTTGGTCTGAAATTGATGAAAAAAAATACAACAATGTAAACTTTGAGTTAAGTAAAAAATTTTGCTTTCCTTAAATCTTCGTACAAAACAGATTTCTTCTGAAGAAATCTGTCTCATAATTAGTCTGCTGTGTAACAGAAAGTTAAGACAGATTACTACTTATGTCATTGTGCATCAGAAGAAAGATTCACCTCGGTAACAGGTGTAATCTGAGTTCATTCTGTGTTATTTAGCGCTTTCTTGTCGGCTGGTTAAAACGCGAACAAAACAAAAGTAAAAAATATGAGAAAGCAGGAAAAATACTTTTTCCGCAGTGATCTGGAGTATTGATGAAATCATAAAGACGAAGAAGAATTATCCTTTCTAAGGAAATGCCTGCATGGTAGGCATATTGTTAAAGAGGTGACTCACCAGTATTTCTGCAGCCTTCCTTCAAAGATGATAACATGACAAGAAGAAGAAGATAAGCAATGAATCCTGCATTGAGAGCAACATATCAAGCTGCAATTATCGTTTGATACAATCGAAAACACAGTTGCTTAATATAGTAAAAACTGGGACAAACTAGACTTCATCTAACATAAAACTGCATTTAACAATTTACGTACACGTGCCACAGCACATATATTCGAATGATAGAGAGGCGTGTTATTGTCCGATTTCTAAACACAAACCAAAGACTCAGTTTTCGTTCAACAAAAAATATTTATTTTCCACGACGTCGTAAGCGTACTCTCCGTAAACGAGAACATGAACACTATCCGTTTTGGTAAACGAAAGGTGAGCAAAGGTCTGCGAAGTCTTCAATTTGTCATTCAGCCCCAGTGAACTTATCCTTCATAGTTATAAACAGGAGTAAATCGGACCACTTTAAAAGCTTCCGTTTTCTCCACTTATGCATAGCCTAAGCACTAAATATACATGGCTGAAATCCTAGATGATTTGTTCAAGAACCTTTTGTTAAACCCCTTTCTTTACCTTGGTCGTATTAATGCTCTTTTTATTTCATTATCCTTTACCACTTGAATTTACTCCACCTCAATTCCACTTCACCATCTTCAACATTATCATCATCGTACACTCTAATTTTCATATGATAGAGAAGATTTGTAGCTCAGGTGGATGATTTTGATATGGTTGTGTTCTCTGAGCTAGATAGTTAATTTGCGAAGCTTTCATCACCCTACTGGGTGACGTCCACTTTGTCTTCGTATCCACGAACATAAGCTAGCTGTCAAAAGACATGATATCCACTCCCTCATATCACTACATACAGACAACCACGGACATCAATTCGACAGGGACAATGTTCAAATATTAGACAGAGGAAACAACAAGAATGCTAGAGAATTTTTAGAAGCTTGGCATTCCAGTGATTCATCAATCAATAGACACATCGAGATAGACAAAATTTATCAACCGATAAGAACGAAACGTCACACACAAAGGGTCAAAGTTCAAGTCAAAGAAACAATGAGTGGCAATACAAGTAACCTAGAAGGTGTGAAAACACACAAAAACAACCAATCACGTCCAAGGTCGCCAGGAGAGATGATTAATAAACTAGTGGAGAAATCTAAAAGCTCACTTCAAGTTGAAGTATGCACTGAAGATGTCACCCAGTAGGGTGATGAAAGCTTTGCAAATTAACTATCCAGCTCGGAGGACACAACCACATCAAAAACTCTAATTTTCAAACAGCACTTCAACTACAATTTCAAAACCTCAATACCAGTCCAGTTATTTAATAATCTTCAACGCTACTCCCTTAGTACATCATTTTAATCATCTTTACTTTTATCAAATGTATGTGGACTGAACAATTTCTAGTGCCACTCAATGCCTTTTTCCGTAATATAAATACGACTGCATAGTTGTCTTCAAAATGAAGTCGTTGTAAAGAAATATTGCTTCGCTGAGCAAAACCTGTGTCTTTCCTTACAAACCAGAGAACCTGCGACGATAGGTGTCGAAAGTATTGAACAGTGCAATTGGACACTAGTAATTCTGTGAAAAATCTGATGGCGTTCAAAATAATCAACAAGTGTGAGAAACCTAGTCTATTGCATTTCGCTAAAACAATCGTTATGAAGCGGTTGAATTCAAACCTGTGTGCTCAGAAAAACGACAGCTACGAACATCACGCTACCTTGGTGAAGTAAACGAAGTAATGCAGTTTTCGTTACGCCATGTATCCTCCTATATCTCCTGTTATGTAGCTTCATCTCAACGTCAGTCACCTTGATGCTTTTACGTTATATCATAGAAATTCATTTTCTCTTGTTATGTAACCTATAGAATCGATTTACTCTTCATATTTTAACTTCGACTCTTCCCAAATATTTGAAACGCTGTTCTTTCTTCAAGAATATTCGTCTAATCATCCTACAAATAGTCAACCATGCGAACTCCTAATGATGCAACAACTCACATCATTCCAGCATTATCTTACCTATGCCTCCAATCAGACACTCAATCTCATCACATCAAAACTTATGTTCAAATATTCCATATAATTTATACTTTTGTATCGTTCGGGTCGTAACCAGATAACAAGAGGCCACAAGACAATGAGTCATGAGCTCAAATTATCCTGCTTGTTAGCATTACTTTGCAATACTCCAGAAGACTGCTGATTACTCGGTTGTGATTCCTCAAACATTCCTTACTCACACAACTTATGAATCAGTGAATAAGTACACTTATGACCACGGGTCGATTTTCAATGTCAAATGAATTTTGAGACTTTAAATTGAAAAGCATGTAAAGCGGTCATACTTCCGTCGGAAATGTTCCCTCTGTGGTGGCAAGCAAACTCACTTCGTCAATTCAACTTACAATTCACTAAATGTCTGTCAACGATAATCAGATGGTCAGTTGACAAACATTTCAACTCACTCAAAAAATTATCAAAGTCATCCTGTCGGACTCTAACCAACCTCCTGGCTCATAATTATCTCTTTGCATATCCTAAGTTAGGTCGTGAAACTCTCACGATGCATTATTTGACTCACATCTCATTCGATTGAAGAGCGTCAGACATCTTGCTAACAACTGACTGTGAAAGAGTGAATAAACAGCTCATTTCATTCCCCCTAACACAACATTATTTGTCTCACTGTTCCCATCAACTTACAATTCATCCTTACAATTATATACTTTTCCTGTTATAAGTACTATGAATATCATCCGGTTCTGTAGTCAATGATTTCTCCTGTAATATCCGATGTGAAGAGAATAATACTTGGTGCAGTAGTGAACTACACTGCATCGAGAGTGTTGTTTACAATAAAGTCGTCATCATTACCGTATTCTGCAAGTTGTTTTCAATGAATCAACCTGTGAAGACCACTTAAGATCTTGAAATTAGATGACTTCAATTAATTCGACTCAAATCTAGAGAGGACAAATTATCTTTAGTGACTGACTGCTTCATAGATTACGGAGAGTCTAAGTGAGAAGTTGTGATTGATGGTTCCAACCGAGTTGGAGTTGAAACTGACGACAGTGGATGGAGATGTAATGATATGGAGAGTTGACAATGACGAGTATTCATAGAGACCTAAGACTATCATCCATAAGCTGATACGAAACCTACTTCCTTACAAAGACTGAGGAATGTGGTTTACATCGCTAATGGGGTCGTGGTTATGCACTGTGAACGACTCTTACACCGAAGTCACCGCACGAAATGTGAACATAATGTGTGTTAAGAATAAATTAACTTACAACAGACTCTGTCTTCTTCTTATTATTGTATAGATTCTCGAGATACTTCTCAGTGAAGCCCAATGTCAGTTTGTTCTCATTCCTTCCCATTTGTGATGAAATATATCGCTGTTTCGTTTTCTTGTTCTGACTCCAGTTAGTTGGAATTGTCGGTGAATTTGCGACGAATGATTCCTTACTTTGTCTTGGAAGCGCTGAAGTCAACTGTTCAGATTGCAGAAAATGTCTCCTAAGTACGTGATTCAGACACCACAAAATCGTGACAATGATCCCCAAAGCGAGTACAACCTTCGTTTCATTCATTTGAATAATTCGTTAACTGGACTTGTTGCAGTTATATGCCAAGTAACTTTGTAATCAAAATGAGGGCCAATTAAAAGCAACAAATGCAAAAGGCTTAGAAGATAAAATCAATCATAACGAAATTAACCTCACAACAATGAATTTATAAGGTCACGTCCCTTATAAATTTATAAATTAAATTTATAAACTGGCGTCCCTTATATACAAAAATGATAGGTCCAAGGCTTCCTGCCGATTGCCTCCAACTATCCAATGATAATATATTATTATTATTTGCGATAGTACATTTAAGAAAATGAATTCGCCGAAGAGAGACTCTTCGCTGACCTATGCGTTTGTTTTCATTAATACCTCAACGGGGATCATTCATGAAAAGCATTAATCACACTTTTTAGATATTCTCCGTCTTCTCATAACACTAATAATATTTTCTTATCAATAATATTTTGTGCATTTGTCGTATGACATTTATTTATATCAGTTTCTCAACTAACCTTCTTTTAACTCTCTTCACCTACTACATAATTTACTTTTGATACTTTTCATCTTAACGTTTTTCACATCACACAACCTCAGTCTCAACTTACAAGTCAGCATCCCAACCAACAACTCACCACCCCTCACTCTTAGAATTTCATCATCCATCACTGTTTTCAAATATTTCGGTGATGTTAACATCAATGGTTAGGACTCTCACCGACCATGCACATGGTCCGGGGTTTGATCCCGTGCCGGCGCACACCAGATATCTATGGTCGGCCTGAATTTGGGCTACCGATATCCATGCTGAAAATTCCATACTTGTACTGAAAATACGGTGTGGAATCAAGCTGTAAATCAAAAAAAAAAAATACAAAAAAACTAATATATAATTGTGATTGTACAGACAGCTTAGTGAATGAAAAGGAGTCGAGAAGAGTGTCTTCGCTGGACGCTTTCTTCTCACTTTCAAGTTCGGGTGGGTATTTCCCGCGAATTATGTAGACACTGACCAAGTATGCATACCTGTTTACGTATCAGGATAAGGTCTTGAGGTGACGCTTATTCAGCTGATTTTTCATAGTAAGTTTCAACTCGAAGTGAGTGTATTGTCATTATGTATTTTGTTTTTGTTTAGTTTACCACCCTGTTGTGTAGAAAATGCATTGACACACATGAACTATAAGTCATCATACTGACTGGATTAGAGTGGATTGGTGAAATCTCATCTAATGATACTGAAGAAGCGTTGTCATAGAACATGATGAACAATCGTATTAAAATGATGAATCTACTGGTGGGTAGGTGGGTAGCTAGTTAGGGATGGAGAGAGGAAGGGAGATGGAGGTAGACTGATAAATGTAACCGTAAATTGACTTTTGATACGTTCCTGCATACTAATATCGAGTTATGAATTTATGAGGGTACTGATGACTTTTACGAAATAGTAAAATAAGTGCAACTGAGAGTATATGAGAAACAATGCATCACTGATCTTATTCACTCTTTCATAATCAAAGTCTGATTTATGCAATAACACAGGTTGCTTTTCTCTTATTCACTCTAACAATCAATACGAGTGAAAACAACAAGTAGTCACTGTCAAATGCTACAGAAGTCGTGGGCACTTGTCTTGCTTCTATGATTACTTGAAGGTATTGTCCAAGTCTTTCAAAGCACTGTCAATCTGTCATTTAATTCCATCATAGTTTTAACTGATGTGAATTAGCATTTAGATCTACTGGCTTTCCATTCTATTCTGTACAGATTCGTTTGAGAATAACAAGAGAATTATGCGATTGGTAAAACTGGCACCAGAGTAACTGTCGAATAATGAATGGAGGTCAATAGTGAAATAATTCGAAGACTATATGGAAATGTTAGATGAGTAAATTCGGATGGTTACGGACGCGGGATGTTGTACACTTCAGTTTAATTTTAAGTTTAATTTAAGTAAATTCAAATTTGGATTGCTAAAAACAGTGTATTCTACACAGCTGACGCATTATGTGGGTCTTTCAGGACAAATGCATAAACTGTAAATTGGAGAGAGAGAGTTAAATTTACGATTCAGTTAGAAAATGTACAGTGGGCACTAGCTATGTCAAGTTGTAGAAGAAAACTCATATGAGTGGACAGGCAGTGTTAGTTGAGTGTGCAATCGATCAAGCGAAAATTCTGAGAAGTACTTACGAATACCTAAATAATGAAACAAAACAGATGGATGAGACATTCGTCCCACATAACTACCTGATGAAATTTACTGAGAAGTTCAGTAACAACAAAATGAGAGATATCAATGAAACTACTGACCATAATATAAATAAGGAGTTTGACATCTGAAACCTCACGTAGGATACCTGATAAAGCAGGGATTTGGGTGGTATTTAAACCTACAAACTCCTACAAAGTCATTCAGTGACAGGTTCTGTAGGCTAAAGGACTCTATTCAGCCAACATATAAAAAAGAAATGAATTTTTAATACATTAAGAGAAATCAAATTTCACTTTTAAGTACTTACGATTAGGATTTTTTCTTCTTTGTAAGCTGATACACAGGCGTACTTCACAGTGACATCCACCAACATTTATCCTATTTGAAATTAGTTCATCGATCCTATTGGCTTGAAATTCTATTGTTTCACAATTCCCAATAAAATTATCTGATTCTGTTATATTGTGTGAGTAAAGGAGTGTACAGACAGATTGAGTTTATTAATCATAAGCGTCTTTTGATGTGAACTTATCCAACCAAGTGTATGGAGTGATAATAATGAAAATAATATATAATAGCAGACATAGTATTAGTGAATGTGCGGAAAACTAATGAGCAGTTTGGTAACCATAGATATATTTGGATACTTATTATTTCACTAAAGTCACTTCCAATATTAAGGCTGACTGAACAAACTTCTATAAACCAAGGGGTAATCGAACACGTGACCTCCCACGCTTAAAGGTCATTCGTTTCATTAATAACTCTACATTATCGCCAATGCCAACAGAATTGTTTACTGTAGTATTAATTGGTTGCATGTTTACATTATGTCTCTCCCCAATACAACGTTAAAGCTAACAGATGGAAGTGGTCAATGAATAAATTGACCTGTCTTTGCATAATTGTTTCTGAAACCTATAAAGTATACTTCATAGCATTGTCGTCATGAGGAGAAATGCAGATTCAACATAGGTTTAATTTTAGTAAACACTGTGAAACTGACCTTTGAAGCGAACCTTTCGGTAAATATTTTATCAGACTAAGCTCTTCAAGCTGTCAGGATATACATTGATTTTCAATTATTATCACTATTATTACTATTATTGTTAATATTACTGTTAAAACTGCATATTTTTACAGTTGTTAACATCACTCCTATGAATGTTTATTTAATTGTCTTTAAAAACACTTACTGCTTACTTCCAAAGAAGGTTTTACAGCGATTCCACAGGGTGTAACCATCCGGCTCTTACAAAAGCAGGTGGAAGTATGGATATCTTTGATATTAAGTGGTACATCATCACGAAAAGTTTCCATTTATACAAGCATAAATATTATTTACATTTCATGCTGTCTATTTCATCAAGAGCGATTTATCTAACAGCCGTTCATTAAAATGAAGTCTTTTCTGGTATTGTCTTCATAAGTCCCCACTGTTATCTTCTCTTTTCTCAAGCAAATCACATAACTAGCAGATGTTTTCTGATCAACACAACCACCACCACCGCCGTCGCCTAGTTTACTACCTCACTAGATTTCTTACCAGTCTGAAGTCGAGGAGAATAAGGAGGGTTGGGTGTGAGACTAGCGAACCCACCCTGAAATTTCAATCCAATCTTTAAAGAAACTTCAAAGCACATGAAAAAAATAAAAGACAAACTAATTCTCCGCTGGAATCTGAGAGGCGGAATGAGACAGCGGGTTGGTCAAAGCCTTCAGGAAGCCAGTCAGCCAGCAAATGTGTTTTCTTTTGATGAAAGCTAAACTAAACACCGTGAATGTTGAATGTTCGTACAGTGGATGAAGCTAGGAAGGCTGTTCAGGTAGTCAAATAAATGAGACGATACGGCATGGAAGTGCTGCGAATCTATGAGAGTAGGTGGACTGGATGTGGACTGTTGAAATTGTCAACTGGTGAGTCAGCAATCTACTCAGGTTGCCCAGACAACAACCACGAAAACACTGAGGCAGTGAATAGCTATCATGATGTCACCAGTGGCGGCCGAAGCTCATATACGGTGTTAACCGTCCCCTTGCAGAAAGACTCAGCTCAAAAGCAAGGAAAGTTACAATGCTACGCGTAACCAAATGAAGCAGAGTGAGTGGAGAAAAAGGAAGACAACTGCAAACAGTAATGGACAAAATCTCAAATGGTGACATCAAAATCACGATATGATTTCTAAACTGGGAGCAAAAAATACAAGAAGATAAGTCATCAAGGGACGAGTAGCCTTCGGAAAACTGAATGAGAACGGAGAACCATTCGTAGATAACTCAGACTCCAGCGATTTGGTGACTGGAGGTAACGTGTACAAGCACAAGGATGTACCTAAGGCAATACGGGTTTCACCTGACGGATGCATTAAAAGTCAGATAAACTCAATCTCTATTTCAAGAAAGTGGAGACACAGCCTTCTGGATAAGGGAAGCAGATGTGGACTCAGAGCACCATCTAGTTCAAGGAATCTTCAAGGTCAAGTTGAAAGCATTCAGTACAACCGTAGACAGAACACAATCAAATTCACCACTCGGAAACTGAAGAATGGGACTACAAAAGACACGTTGACTGCAGCCATCAGAGCAAAGTCGGAGACACTACGTGGCATCACTGCGGAAACCTGCGTGGAAGAACATTGGAACTAACTCACTGAAGGCGATGTTCAAGGGAACGAGTACAACTGGTCTAGGAAGAAAGGAGATACAAGACAAGAAATTGCTCTCAACGGCTACCCGGCAGCTAACAGAAGAGAGGGAAATGATGAAACAGAGGAAGGATCGATGCAGAGATGGACTACAGGAGAAGGAGAAGTTAAGTTCCACATACATAACACTGAATAAAGGAGTGATGAAGAGTGCTAGGAAAGACAAAAAAAATTCTATGACACATTGGCTGGCAAGTGAGGCAGATGAGACAGGCTGGAAGTAGACGAGACCTCAGAAGATCATAGCAGACAACCAGGTCTCTAGAAAATCAAAGCAAGTGATTCAGCGAAAACAATCTTCTCAACCAATTTATTGTCAAGCTGTACAATCGTATATATTTGGTTTCTAAGAAATTATATCCGGTGAGGGAATTGAATCATAGTTGTGAATGCATAAAAGATAATAGTAGTGTGGTGAGAGCTGTCTACTAGCCAATTGGTTGACAGTAATTGAGGTCAATGTTTATGTATCAAATATTAGTCATGTTGTGGTGAGAGATGGTTGCTAGCCAAATTGGTCGACAGTAATCGAGGTCAAGGTCAAGGTGAACAGGCGGATACAGTTAACATATAGATGAACTGACACAGCCACAAGAGATGTAAGGTTAACTTTGTGTGAGAAAAAACCAATCAACAGACTGTATTTTCTACTAATATTAACCTACAATAATGTACATCAAAATCTATAAATACGTGTTGATTTTCCGTAATAAACGTTCTGTTGCCTGGCCCCTGTCTTCTGTTGTTACAGCAGTATAAAATGCAACTAAAATGTTCGTGATTATACCAAGTGGCAAAACAGTTAATGTCATATATAGAAAAATTCATAGGATGATAGGTGTTGGAAGAGGGTGTGAGATTATAGTATTGGTAGGCAAATAAAATAAAAATAAAAGAGTCACGTAAAACTGTGTGAAATTTAGTAACATATAATTTAACTTTGCAAAATAAATGACTTAGAATGACAAGTGGGACGAGTGAAATAATACCGCGGACAAATTCAAAGTGAGAACAGTAATATTAGCGGCTGACTTAATAAGGGAAGAGTATACAAATTGAATAAACAAAACGAAAAATAGCAAGCAGAACCAAAATATGAATGGGAATTATCATATTTTAGCATAGGGCGATTAAGACCATGAGAGTTGGAGAAGTTGAACTTTCTGACTCTTCTGTTTCGATGACCAAAGCCTCGGCAAATTATTTTTGCCTTGTATTTGACTCTAAAGGTGGAGGCTGTAGAGATAGGGTGATCAGTATCAACAAGGTGTTAAATTACTGCGCTTCTTATAGCTCCACAATGTCTCTATCCAAGAAAAGATCAACGCAGATAAAACCTATAAAGGATTGTCGAGGGAACATAATTACCACGGAGAAGAGATAAGTAAAACAATGGGCGTCAGGACCAGAAAGAAATCCTCCCGAAGCACTGAAGAGACCGCAGCGGATATGCTCATGCTACTGTTGTAAGAATTTTGGAAGGAAGGAAAAGCACACTCTGATTGGATGAATCCTAATTTACCTTGTGAAACTACTAAAGAAATGCAACTTAGGACAATGCTACGCACATTGCTATAACCGATGTAGACGGAGTGGAGAAGTAGAAGGACTTCTTCAGACAACTAACTGGAAACAGCAATGAATGAGACTTCAACCAGATGGCAACACTGGAATTCTGGTGAGCGGTTTGAATGCCAATCAAACTAAAGCAGATAAAACAGAAAAAGAACTCATCATGGATCGACAGAACTCCTGTGAAATCAGTGAGAATGGAGAATACTTTGCAGAACTCCCAGCACGTTTAGTGATTTGTTGATTGGTATCAGTGTGTGCAAGCGCAAAGATATCCATCAGGTAAAGTAGGCTTTCTCAGACGAACACACAAAAATCAAACAGGGTTCATCTCAATCTGAAAATGTGAAGATACAGTCTACTAGACACATGATCGAGGAACGGAGCAGATGTAGGCTTTGATCACTACATAGTGCTAGGAACCTTCAAGACCAAGCTGGAAACTTTCAAAGAAGCTGAAGAGAAACCACAATTCAAGTTCACGAAAGGAATGGACTGTGTTACAAGGGACACCTTAACGGTAATCATCACGAAGATGATGAAGTAGAAGATAAACTACTGTAGAGATGAAAACCAAAAGGAACAAATGACTAGTATCTACAACACACTGAACAAAGGAGTGAAAACGAATGCTAGGAAAGACAAAGGATGCTTTCACAACAACTGAAGCAAAATAGGCTATAGCGAATGTCCGTAATCGGCCTACACTGAATTTCCAAAGTGATGGAAGTGCCTCTGTAGACAAATCACACGTTTGCTGATCAACTTATATCTGTTTATTAAATGGACGGAGGCGATCTTCAGGAAGCATTGCACCTAGGTTTCCTGCTATTTGGCACTCATCAGCACGACGTATCTGAAGGAACTCATGTCCCTTCTGAGATCCCAACCTGCGTCACCCAGTGCAGTTCTGCAGTCACAGTCGTCATCACTGAGTTATTCGGGTTCGTGATTTGGTTGGACAGTAGTTAGTAACTAGTGTTCAATCAAAGATATCTGTTTGCTAACATTAGTCCCAGTCATGTGATTATAGGCTTTCTCCACGGCCATGACATTGCATCAAATCACCATGTCTGTATCTGAAACGAGATGAAGCCGATGAAAGTTATCGTCTTGTTTTCATGAAACTAGTCTCTTCACTATAATTTTGAACAAATTCCGGCATTCATATTTGATGTTTAAGTATTAAGTACAAAATATTGGTGGGTATACTTGTCTCCCAAGTGGTGTAGCTGAGTGGTGCCAGCCGGTCTAGGATTTATTTCACTAAACATATCTTCGACACAGATCACACTGTAAACTCTTTTCTGGTAATCAACAGAAAATGTAATACCGGATTATCATCGCTCAATGCAGAAGCATCAACAATCTGTCGAGTAAAATCTAACTTGTTCTTACAGCATTATTAAGTGGTTTATCCTGCATCGACTTGGTAATGTATTGGTGTTTTGTGAACTGAGAAATCTCTGTTATTTCAAATGGTCATACTGGACGAAATCCACGTTACGTGTAATACATTTGTCTCGTCTGAACCTTAAATGTTGGTTATTACATAAATTCCATTCGACTTCACACTGATTTTCATTCCATTTTCGTCGGCACCAAAATGGGTCATGCATGGGTCATACATAAATATAGCCTTCAAAAGCGACCGCCTGACTAACACTCTATTAAAGGGAATTTCAAAAGCCCCTAAAAGAACATTCTTTCCTCCTACATCAGAACTGGTATTCTCTTGCTGCCCAACAATCTCCAATATCCCTAAAGATAAACTAGCGTGCTTGATCACCTCTGTGTGTATCTATCAATACACTTGCTTCCGATGTGTGTTTTATCTCAAAAGATCAAAGAACGTTCTGACGCTTCGGTACAGAAAGGTTACAATGAATCAATGAAGAGTGCTATAACTGAACACACAGTTAACACTGGTCAGTCACTCAAAATGTAAGAAAAATTCATTCAAATTATCTACAGAGTCAAAAGAAGCCTCTCGATAATGTTATGCTTCCGAACACTCTACATTGCTTAGACCTTAGTAATTCC